AGGTGAGGCCATCTGAGAGGCGCAAGCTGGTGCAGGTGAGGCCATCTGAGAGGCGCAAGCTGGTGCAGGTGAGGCCATCTGAGAGGCGCAAGCTGGTGCAGGTGAGGCCATCTGAGAGGCGCAAGCTGGTGCAGGTGAGGCCATCTGAGAGGCGAAGGCCTCACGTCCTCACCCGCGCTGCGAGCGACATCGCAGAATGTTCACAGTTTGCTTGGCCTCGAACCTCTAACAAAATTTTGGGATCGCCCAGGCTTCGGCCGTAGAGTCGCTACACTCGCTTAAAGTTATTCTGGGTCAGCGAGGCCGGCCGATCAGCTTCTGATCAGAGTCTGATTTCAGACTTTAATGCTTTAATGTAGTAAGACAGTATGATAAGTGTGTCCTAACTGTCCTGAATGGGTGACAAGTGTGTCATAGTGACCTAGTAAGTTGCTGAGTGGTTGCACTTCAAGCCCGGCCGAGGCGTACATTAGCGGCTGATTTACGCGCTCCCCGAGTCCTGGGCGGCACCTGCCCTAACAAAATTTAGAGTCGAGCGCGGCTCTGGATTAAGGAACGCGTATGACTCGGAGCATAGTCCACCAGCTTCTCTACCCTTATCAAAATTTTTAGTTGGTGGCGACCCTGAATTAGGAACCGCCTAGGACTCGGACCGAACGTAAATCAGCTTCTCTATGTCCGCTTTTCGGTCTACATTCCGGTCCCCGAATCAGACAGCTACAAGCGCCTGGTCCTTATTCTGTCAACTCTTGCCCTACTCTCAGGAGACCATAAAGTCGGCAAGGAGGTTCTGACTTGTCGCTGATTGCGATCAGTTGGCCAACTGACCCAGAATAACTCTTACGCGAACATAGCAACTCTGGGGCGGAGGCTGAAGCATAGCCCGAATTTTGTTAGGGTGATGCAGAGTCTAGCCCGCTTCTAAATTTTGTTACGGACCGTACTTAACAAATGCAGAGTCGGGCCCGCATATAAATTTTGTTATGGACCCAAACTAATAAATTTCACCTGTTGTTTATTTCCACTGCAAGACCTAAACCTGTGCCTCCTACAGCTGGTGGTGGAGGGCCTCCTACAGCAGGAGCACCGGGTGAGCACGAGCCTCCTGCAGCAGCTGGCCTACGAGATCGTGGCCGAGTTCCCCAGTGAGGACAGGGCCACCTACTTCGTGGGGCCTCTCGAGAGCGGCAAGCGCAACGCCTCGGGCAAGCTCGTCATCAGATACCGGTGAGGCCACCGGCCGTTGCGGTGAGGCCACCTGCCGTTACCGTGAGGCTACTTGCCGTTACGGTGAGGCCACCTGCCGTTACGGTAAGGCCACTATGCATTACGATTAGGCCATCTGCCACCGTACACCATCAAATTACCACAGACAGTTCACTTGTATATGGCTCAGATTGAGAACCGTTAACCCTCAATGTTATTCAGCTATTTATTTACAATTTCTACACCGAAACACAAAAAATTTTTAAATCTTGTGTAGCATCAGTTATGATACAGGAAAATGTTGTACATCGATGTTCATTTTACATGCGACTTGCCGAAAATTTGTAAGACATGAGGAAATAGAACTATTTATTCTCTAGTGATCGGTTTTGAATACATATGTGAATCAACCTCTACTTTGAAGTCATTCCTCACCAAAAACAAGTTTTATACGAGCATACTGTCATGTGGAGTGAAAATCCTGTATGCTAACTGCTCAAATACAGGAATTGTGGGAGGTATTGTTAGTTTATTAGCTGGAATTGTGGAATTACCCCCCCTCCCTAACCTAACCAACTATCTAAACAATCAGCAATTTTTCTTCCCCATTCAAACACACTCCCCCCCCATCTCCCCTTCACCCTCGTCATCTCACTCCCCAAGTTCCCCTTTGTTGAGGGGCGCCCGTGGGAACCAAGGCGATGAGTGCCCCCCCTCCCCCCCCTTTCCCCCTTGCTACCCCATCTTTCCCTCCATAAATCCCCCATTTCTTCTCCCCTCCCCCAACCCTCTTTTAACCCTCGCCAAAAATGGACCCCTTTTAACTAAAACGAGAATATTTAGGTAGTTTGAATTAAGTTTAAACTTGATTATTTATTAGTTTGAGGCCCTAGGGAACTAGTTACCGGCGCGTATAATATATTAAACATGTATAAACATATTCATTTTTTTTAAATAATTCATCGTGCGGATTGATAAGTAGACGAAACCTAAATATTAGTTGATGGCGATAAAACTACTATTTTATATATTGGCCCCTATGCATATATCTGCCCTTATAATTAATAATTAATAATAACTATTAATCTTCTAGAGGAGCTTTGGCAATTGTTCGTAATCTTTGCATTAGTTAATTAGTACAATGAACCAGAAAACCTAGTTATTTAAAAGGTTCGATAACTAGCTATAGCATCCCGTGTATAATAGGTGGAAATGGAAATGAACATATATGAAATTAATGAATATATATGAATGTGAAATATATTGAGCAAGTGAATGAATGTACGTATATTAACATAATATTTATATACAATTCCAATAATGTTAATTGGCTAGTTGATGGCTCGGGAACTAGTTAGCGACGCGTGGGACTACTTTACGCGGCGCACGACTCTCCTGACCCTGAGGCGTAGTATTGCTGCGCCGCGTCAATGCCGTGGGAGAATGGCGGTAAATACCGTGCCTACACTCACACTTGTTAGTGAGTCATGTTGTACAAATAGTGACATTAGTGACTAGTGACAGGGCCCTGTTGACTGGGCCCTGTTGACTGGGTCCTGTTGACTGGGCCCTGTTGACTGGGCCCTGTTGACTGGGCCCTGTTGACTGGGTTCTATTGACTGGGTCCTGTTGACTGGGTCCTGTTGACTGGGTCCTGTTGACTGGGTCCTGTTGACTGGGTCCTGTTGACTGGGCCCTGTTGACTGGGTCCTGTTGACTGGGCCCTGTTGACTGGGTCCTGTTGACTGGGTCCTGTTGACTGGGCCCTGTTGACCCGGTCCTGTTGACTGGGCCCTGTTGACCCGGTCCTGTTGACTGGGTCCTGTTGACTGGGCCCTGTTGACTGGGTCCTGTTGACTGGGTCCTGTTGACTGGGTCCTGTTGACCCGGTCCTGTTGACCCGGTCCCGTTGACCCTGACCGGCCCGACTCGTCTTCACCCGCCGGCGAGGCCGCCAGGTGGCGGGCGGCGGGTTATTTATTAATTTATTAATTTATTAATGTATTAATTCTTTTTGATTTCCATTATTTTGTTGTATAACTGCGGGAGAAAATTTATTTATTATTTATGTGGGCCACCCACCCTAATCAAGATTATTCGTTTTTAAATCTAAATTAAATGAATTAATCTTAAATCTTTAGGGTATTTTTTTAAATTTAACCTTACGATGTTATGAGCCAGGCAGAGATAACGGTAAGGAAAAATTATAATTTTTATCATTTTATTTATTAATTTATTAATTTATTAATGTATTAATTCTTTTTGATTTCCATTATTTTGTTGTATAACTGCGGGAGAAAATTTATTTATTATTTATTTATTTATTAAACCAATATCTACTGGGGTTTAATTAATTAATACAATAATTAATTATTAATAATTAATAATAATATAATAATTAAATTTATCTCAGTATCGCACGACTTCCGGCTAAAATACGTGGATGATTTGTGCCCAAATATTTAATTAAATTAATAAATTAATAATAATTGCCCAAAAAACGATTTTATTTTACTGGTAACTACTATAATATGAACAATAAATATAGGAGATAATTAATGCTAATTAGCCTAACGAATAATTAAGCAATAGGAACAGCAAAACAGTGATAGAATAGAATAATGAATATAAAATAAAAATAATATATAGAATAATAGAATAGAATAGAATGTACTATATGCACCATTACATATATATAAATAATATGCACCACAATAACTTTTACGATTACCGTATAACTAAGGATTACTCGTAAGAAATTATTGTCAATGCATTGAACTATCAGAGAAAGAAAGGGGGGGGGGGGGGGGTGGGGGGGTGGGGGTGGAGGAGAGTAAGGGGAGTCGGGGGGTTAATTTAGGGGGTACGTTTGTACTTGTATCGTAAGCTGTGTACATATGTACCACACATATACTATCTGTATATGTATATACATATATTATATGTACACATATACTATACATATAGTATCTGTATACAGTATACATATACTACACAAAGAGGGGTGGGAGGACGCGGGGGAGGGGGAGGGGGTCTTTCGTCTGTATATCGGCCTTTGATCTTCACATTGTGACGCCTTCTGATCTTATCTGTATGACCACACAGCATTGTGTCATAAAGCCTTGTGTGCCACACAGCCTTGTGTGCCATACAGCATTGTGTGCCATACAGCCTCGTGTGACACACAGCCTTGTGTGCCACACAGCCTTGTGTGACACACAGCCTTGTGTGACACACAGCCTTGTGTGACACACAGCCTTGTGTGACACACAGCCTTGTGTGCCATATAGCCTTGTGTGCCATACAGCTTGTGAGCCATACAGATTGTATTATTTCATTTTGGGCAATTTTATGAGGTTGTATAATATTATACAGGAAAATAAATACAGCTCACACATTCATGTTTACTGCACAAACGGGGAATTCTGTGTGATTTCTGGGTATTCATAAAGCATACAGGAATATTCAGAGCAGGCGTATTACATACATGAGTTATATATATGACTATACAAGCGGTGCTGGATATACATTGTGTAGCTTTATACACTATACAGGGCGGTATACAAAATATATCTCAGATACTGTTTCTATACAACTATACAGATCAATACACTGTATGGAAAATAAAATTCAATTAAACACACCACACAGATGTGTTAACACCACACATTTTTTTGCATGCAATCTATCAAAAAAATCATCAAAACATCAGAAAAAAATCTTTATTAATTTTCTAAATATCTATGAAAATCTTCAAAAATATCAAATCTTTTTAGTGAGAGATAAAGATTTTATGAAAGATTATGTACTAATTATTGCTAATTATAATTGTTATGTATATAATAGCAACGCTAAAAAATTCCGGTACAATTACAAGAAAACAATATATTTTTTTTCTATTACTGCAATTTTCTTGGTGGTGATGTTGCTGATGGTGGCTGTTTGTTGCAATTTTCTGGACAGTCAAAAAAAGAAATGGAGAATATTATTAAAAAAATTTACACTTTGTTACCAACTACCCAAAATTGCATCGAAATTTGGACAATATCCCATTTATTCCGCTGAGCGAAGTGTTAGGATTAACACACCACACAGACGATGTGTATGGTCGTCTACACATGATGTATGGATGTATGGATGTGTGTGTATCAGCTGGCGGGGGGTGGGGGCAGGAAGGTCTCAGCGGGGGGCGCCACGGGTTGCCCGATTTTTACGCCCCCCGATTTTTTGGGGGGTTCGGCGGCCCCCGTTAGGGGGGCGGCGGCACCCAAGACCTGGCGGTTGAACCTTGACGTGGGTGTCAGGATGAAACTATCATCATCATCATCCACGTCAAACTTATCATCATCCTTATCATCATCACCATCAAATCGATCATCAAAATCATCATCATCGTCGAGTCTGACGGTGAACCGGGCCCCACCACGACCATTATTGGGCCCTTGACGATGCTGGTCGTTGGCCCCTTGCCTACGAAGGGCCTCCTGCTGGATCTTATGTTTCTGGTCATCAATAAGCTGCTGCTGCTGCAGGATCTGCTGCTGCTGCTGCTTCCTGAACTCCTGCTGCTGCAGCCCCAGCTGCTGCTGCACGCGGTGCAGGTTGATCAGGTTCTGCTGCTCCTGCAGCTGCTGCTGCTGCAGTATCTGCTGCTGTTGCCGTACCTGTTCCTGTTGCTGCTGGCGTTCACGTTCCGCGTGTTTATTGGACGCCCCGCCCAGGGGGATGAAGGGTATGGGTGTGGGGGGTTTAGTTGTGGGGGTTGGACGTGCCCCCTGGGGGGCCCTGAGAAGGGGACGGCCCCCCACGCTTCGGACGAAGTCCAGGATGTCGTTGAGATGGGGGAGGTTGGCGGGCAGGATACGGGGTCCTGAGGCCCCCAATTGAACCGCTGGGGCCCCGCCTGGGGAGGTGATGGGTAGTTTCCTGTCTGGGGGAATGACCCCGGTGGTGTCTGTGGTGCTCAGTAGGATGCCTTGACGTGCCCCTTGGGGAAGACGAACAGTTTGTCCCACTTGGGGACCTGAGCTGGCCAGAGGCCGACCCCCAGCAACCTGGGACCCAAAGTTTTGGGGGACCTGCACGGGGGAGCCGATGATCAATGGTGGGGGAGTCGTAACATGGACCCTATTCCCCCGACGTTGGGGCTCAAGACCCGGGAGCTCGTTGCCCCGCGTGATGGGGCGTATGGGTGTAGTTGAGGACCCGAGGGGCTTCTTGAACACCTTCGTGAGGGTTGGCTGGCGGCGTGGGGTAGTGGAACCCAGCGAAGTTCCCCTCGTGGGGGGAATTGGGGTTACCGATGAGATCTTCTGACCTCTCGTGCGGCCTTCATCCCCTACAGGCTGGGGACCTCTACCCCTTGAGGAGGTAGGACGCTGGGGAGCCAACGTGGGGAGCGGCGAGTCCTCCGATGTCCCCACTGGGGAAGAATGACGCTGGGGCTGCGACGACAACAACTGGGTGACAGTGTGCTGTCTCTGGGTGACCTGGGGTCGGCGGGTAGTGACCAGTGGGGGAGAGACTGTCGGGGAACCTACTCCCCCTGATTGGGGGAAGGTCTGGGCGGCGGGGAAGGAAGTCCCAGGCCGTGGGGAAGTTGGGGAGAACAAGGCAGCTGTTGAGGCAGCGTTGAAGACCTGTTGTCGCTGCCGTTGTCTGTTATCCTGACGCTGATGCTGGCGAGCGATGGTGGTGGGGGCGATAGTGGCCACGGGGGGTTCTGGGGAGGGGTTATGGTCGGGGATGTTGGGGAATTGTTCGTTCTGAGGAACCTGGGGGATCTGGGGGAACTGTTGGGGACGGGTTGAGGCTAGGGGACGGCCTGTTATCCTTCCCCCAGTGGGCGGAGAGGCGGTCAATGGGAGACCGAACGTCTGTTGTTCCTGTTGACGTTGCTGTTGTTGCCTTTGCTCCTCCAGCTGTTGTTGCTGCCGTTGTTCTTCCTGCTGTTGCCGTTGCCGTCTCTGTTCTTCCTGTTGTTGCCGTTGTTCTTCCTGTTGTTGCCGTTGTCGGCGCTGTTCTTCTTCCAGTTGCCGTTGTTGTAGTTGCTGCTGTTGTAGCAGACGTTGTTCTTCCTGTTGTTGCCGTTGCCGTTGTTGCTGTTGCTGCTGTTGAGGTGTGGTCTGTACACGCGCGGCAGACAAAGGTCTGCCGGTGACAAAATTTTCTTCTACCCCGTCGGGGAAGAATGGGGAGGGCGAGGTTGGTCCTAACCCCCGCGACGTAATCCTCGAGGAATGATCCTCAAAAGTGGGGTGAAGGTGGGGAAGAGTTGGCCCCGTGGGGGGAGTGGGTACGAGTGGGGTCCGTCGTGGGGCAACAGTTGTTGCCTGGTTCAATGCCCCACTGCCCCCATGGGGACTAACAATGGGGCCATCGCCACCAAACTCTTGTGTCCCACTCTCACCCAAGCTGTTGAAGTCCTCTTCGAACTCCCCAAGTCCAAGTCCACTTCCCCTGAGGATGGGAGACCGTCCCCCGGTCCTCTTTGGGGGATCGACGCGCCCGATCTCCGCATTAACCCCCACGTGGAGGGGGGTTAGGTCGCACTCCACGTTGTACCACCAGTCGCACACCAGACGAAGCTGGTGGAACATTGTGCCGTTAGGGCACAAGAACGAGTCCTTCCGCGTGGGGGAGTGGCACACGTGGAACACCTGTGGGGGGCGGGGGAGGGGGGTTAGTGGCACACGTGGGGGAATGCACTCAAACAAATGTACGGGTCTTTTTGTCCAAATGACAACACATTTTCTTATTCACAATACGATAGGAGAGTGGACGTAGCCCTGCGATGCGTTATTTTCTCGGGTCAAACTGAGTCAGGATGACCCACTAATAGAAGACGTGTTTCAAATAAATAATAAATAAATCAAATAAATAATAAATAAATCAAATAAATAATAAATAAATCAAAATAAGCTAGACATTGTCCGAAAAGTGTATGGCTTTTCGGACAATGTCTAACTTATTTTACTCATTGCTTGACGCGGTTCACTATATTTATGTTGTTATATTTTATTATTATTATTATTAATTCATTTATTACCATCAATTATATAATTAATTAAAATTGTTATTTCATCTATTATTTTTTTGCGTACAAAATTTTTATGGAATATTTTATATTTGCACGGCTTTGATTTCAATGTTCGATGTAATAAAAAATCTGAAGTAATTGGGATAAATATTATTGCATAATGGACGATGTATATAACAGATATAATAAATATTATGGACAATAGAGGTGAGATATATTGCGTCATCGAGGTGGAAATTTTCATTATGGACGAATTTTTGTTTAAATGAAATTTTTTTCAAAGTTATAACAAACTCTGCCGATTTATTGAAGTGAATACCGGTATATTTTTAGTTTTGGGAGAATTATCGAGCTGAACTTATTTTTAAACGAATTTTAATTTGAGACGAATTTATAAATAAAAGGTTTCAATCTGAAGGTAATGTTTATTTAAAACGAATTTTAAATTAAAACTAATAGACGATTTTTTATTATTTTTTATTATAAACAAAATTTTTTTTTGTAAAAAGTGTGAAGGGGAAGGGTGGTGAATGGGGGAAAAACGAAGAGAGGATTAAAGAGAGAAAGGGGAAGAGAGGGCAGGGGAAGAGAGGGCAGGGGAAGAGAGGGCAGGGGAAGAGAGGGCAGGGGAAGAGAGGGCAGGGGAAGAGTGCAGCCTTTCCATTAGCTAAGGGCAGCCTTTCCATTAGCTAAGGGCAGCCTTTCCATTAGCTAAGGGCAGCCTTTCCATTAGCTAAGGGCAGCCTCTCCATTGAATAAAGGCAGTCCCTCCCTATTATTACCTATCCTATTACCTAATTATTACCTATCCTATAAGGGTAGCACCTTTCTCTAAAGGCCGCCTTTCAAGCACACTCACGCCCGGTATAATTATATATTTAATTATATATGTATATATAATTATTTATTTACTAAGCTATCAGCACTAATTGGTAGGACTATTATGAAATATTGTTATTAGGTACAACAGCAATAGGTCACAATAGCCATGGTTTAATACAATAACCATCTTGTTGAGAAAGTTTCAATAACCGTCAACAATATCCATTAATATATCGGAAAAATTATTCTATATATAGCGTAAAAATAATATGCGTTTAAAAATTACTTTTTTAAGAGCAACACTTCTAAAGAATCAAGTGTCTCCGATTTTACATATGTACAATGAATTTCTAATTTTATTTTCACATATTATAGAAAAATTAATTTGTAAACATTTTTTACATAAAAAAAATATATTTTGAGTTTTCAGAATTCTTTATTCCGTCAATTGATTCATGCATAGTCTCTGACTTTACGCAATTGTGCAAAATTTCAGATTGATTATACAGGTAGAAGTGTGTTAAATATTGTTTATAAGATTTGTAGCAGACAGACAAAAAAAACAAACAAACAAACAAACAAACAAACCAACAAACAAACAAACAGACTAACAAACAAACAAACAAACAAACAAACAAACAAACAAAGAAACAAACAAACAAACAAACAAACAAACAAACAAACAAACAAACAAACAAACAAAC